TCGAGCGGTGAAGCTCAAGAAGAATGCCAATCGCAAAGTCCAAGTAAAGTTGAATGTCCAGAATCACAAGGTTTTGATGTAATGGAAGCAGTACCGCAAGCGTTTCAATGTCCAAGTCAAGAGCTCGAAGAAGAGAGACAAAAGAATCTCTACTATAGGTTTGCTTTAAATTTAACTTTAGTTCTGCTTTCATATACAGAGTGTTTCAGAAAAGAGATTCCTCAATTAAAAATAAGACTTATTTTTTATGATGATGTTTTTTGAAACACCCTGTATATAGATGTAGGGACGCCCTGTATACCTAACTTTACTTATACCTAACGTTTTAGGTACCACCAACATTCGTTTAATGATTTACACTCTTACTTGCACGACCAAAGAACATTTGTCAAAGAAAAAAAGGAAAAGGAAAAGGAAAAAGAAATTGGAGAGAAAGATAGCAAAACTGCCAAAGATTGTACAGAGAAGTAGAATAGTACCTGTAAAAATTGTAGAAATATTTATGTAATTTTGTTGTAATCAAAGATTAACAAAAAAATATATAATCTACTAAAAAAATACTAATAATTTATCGCCAATAAATATACATTCACGTTATTAATGTTTTGATTTTACAATTATACATATTATTATAATATTAATTGGTTCTCATTTACAATAAATATTTAAACAGTTTTTTTTTATTTTTTAATGAAATAAGCGAAATATATCGACAATATTAGTATTTGTACTCTTTGAAAATTTGTTACATCTTTAAAAATAATCTAAAATGTCAATATTCCATGGGTATAGTGATAAATGAGGTCAAATTATAAGAAAATGTATTTTCGACAAAAACTTAAAGAGATAGGCATAAAATGGTACAATACAATTTGATACACAATTAAATTGTGCATCTGATTCACGTAAAATATACAGGGTGTTCCATTTAAATTAAACAAGTTATTGCCGTTTAAAGCTAGTAATTATTTAATATAACTTTTTAGACACTGTATAAGTTAATATTATATTTATTATCGCAACACAAAATTTAGTAAATAGAAAAACTTCAGTACAATATTTGGTTTTAAAACTTATACGCCCAGAGAAACGAAGCATTAAAATTGTTAATGAATTTTCACAAAATCGTAAATATTTCAAAAACTGTAAGATTAAAGTGCGGTAAACCTTTATCAAATTTACCTTTATTTTAATCGTAGGAACTAAAAATGTAATAATATACAGGGTGATCCATTAAAAAAATACAACTTTGATATTTTTTTATTTATCTGGGATACTCTGTACCTTTTGAAAAATAAATAATTTTAAATTGTAGCTTTAATAGTCCTAGATATGCATTAAACTAAGTAGTAGTATTTTAAGAAAATACAAACACCTTCTTAGTTGCAACAAAAATATATTTATGTATCAAATACAACACGATCGAAAAAAAAACGGTGTCAGCGATGGTGTTGAAATGAAGATCGCTGTCATTTTACATGTCAAATTATATGGGGAATGTCATCGATCGTCGTTTCCAAGCCAACTGGACGCCGTATTTTTTCGATCATATGGTACTATTTTAATGTATTTGGCAACAATGAAAGGCTGTTACTAAATATAAAGTCTTTCCATACCTCGCGACCATTCCTTGCTGCACGTTGTTTACTATCGAAAAATATGCTTGATGCCAGGCACAATCCAATGTTGAAAATGTCCTGAAAATAAAAAATATATACAGGGTGGTCCGAACTGTATTCCGGAAACTTCGGCACCATATCGTTGATCAAAGTATCTGCATTATGGTATCTTTACCTGTAGAGGAAGTTAAATCCAGTTTGCAAAACTTCCAATTTTCTGTCCAATGCCAACTGCCTCAAATGATCACCCAGCATATCTACATCTACTGCGGATGGTATATTCTCCGATTTCACCCATGCTTTTATACCAGCCTTGGTTTGTTCCCAGGTAAGATTTGTAAACGGAGAGTGTCCAGACGATGCTGTTCTCTTTTCTTCTATATTAAGAAGAAAATATTATAAACATTGTGTCACAGATAATTAATTATTAAAGTAAAAAAAATATTATTACAATTTTTTTTATTATTTAAGCTCTTTTATGGATTAGCTGAGGGTCCACGAGTGACGTAGGCATTCCTGTCAACAATTTAAGGCCATAGAACACACAAAACAGGGTCGTTGGTCGTTGGATTCAAACCATATTTCAAGAAAAGAAGATATGACAACTTAACCTTAAAATTTTTCGAAATTCAAAATTTTACCGTTTTTCTTGCATTTAAAGTTTAATTGCTTTTTAACGCATTATATAGAAAAAAAAACAAGTAAAAAGAATCTAACTTTCAAGAATGGGAAGAACGGCAGCCTCTGGGATTAGGAGTAACTTTATTTATATATAATAATAAGAATAATTTGTGCTAACGAATCACGTATTTTTACAGTCAGCGCTGGTAAATCATCTAAAAAATCTGGAGGAGTTTCAACAACTTCACGTAACTCGACACCATCAACTTCAAAATCTAAAGCAGGTAAATATACAGAGGGACCTGTATTTACATTCACAGTGAACTAAAGTCTTAATACTTTTTTCGTAGGAAGCTCTACAAAACTACCACCAATAACAATTCAGAAAACTCCATCATGGCAGAAACCCATAACAAACTTTTTCCAGTCCAATATACAGAATGAAAATGAACAAAACGTGAGTAACCAAAGTAAAGACATCAAAGAAAATATTCATGAAGCAACTTCGAGTAATGAAAATGTAAAAATCAATATTGAAGATAACGAGAAAGATAACGACACTTCTGAAATAGAAGGCTGCACAGATGAAACTGAAACTGATAAAAATGATTCTAATCAAGAAATTGAATCGAACTAAATAACTTTAATAAGTGTAATTCCAAAAAAAAATATTTTATAATAGGAGTGTCTGTCCAAAATGTGAACTAGTTTTAAATACCGGAAATATAGTTAATTTTAATGTAAGTTTTTGATATAATTAATATAAATTAAATATATTTTTTTAGTTTACCTGAATTTTTTTCGCTTGTTTTCATTTTAACAGTCACAACTGTGTTATTTTTTATCGTGTTGAATTTTGTTGAGGTAATTCCATATTCTTGTAGAACTTCTAATCTAATCTCTTCAGGTAGTTCATTCAGTACAGTCATATCAATTTGTTCCAACAATTTAGCCTAAAAAGAATATTAATAGTTACATATGTACATATTTATAAACAAGTAATTATAAAAACTTATTTAAACATTAAAAACATGTCAACTATAACAGAAAAATGTTTTAAATTTACTATCTTTGAAGATCTAAAATAATTAACTTTATAATTAATAATATAATTTAAATTTTACCTCTAACTCGCGTTCTTTATTGGTTTCTTCAACTTGACTGCTACTACTTTTATCACCCTTTTGTAAAAAATGTTTTATAGAGGTATTGCCGTTTGGAGATATTCTTGATCGAGAACCTAAGGTAATTATTGTTAAGGTTACATCTTAAACTCCTCAAGAACAAGGTAAGAAATGAATGGATATATACCGGGTGTTTCTCTAAAGCGGCTCATCTCTATAACTTTTTAATTTTTTCAGACAAAAAAAACGTGCTTTTGTATGTTAGTATATGACATAAATTAGGATTGATTCACGTATTCAATTGTTTTCGGTCTCTTCCTGTTTCACCGGAAATCACTACAACTTTAGATTTTTAAATGACACTGTTAATATATCATATGTCAACTTTTGACATATTCCCTTTAAAAAACATCGTATTTTGTATTTCAATCTAGAGTGTCGTGGCTGTGTTAAAAATACTAATTTTTAATCAAGGAGCCTTGGAAAAATAGGTTTGATTGTCTAATATTTTTAGAGTCTTGTTCTGGCCGGTTAAAAATTGCCCAAATCCTACTTTAATCATATCTCAATTTTTTTAAATTGGATTTTGCTTATTAGCATATTTGGAAAAAGCATTTTTTTACAAATAATTTGGTACCACAAACTTGGTATTCTGTGTCAAATTGTCGTTATGAACCCCATGTCCCAATTTCAAATAAACCATATGGTAAAATGTCAAAATTTGACATATTATATGTCATTCTACTTAGAGTGTCATTTTCTAACAGGAAGTGAGCGAAAACAATCGAATACGCCAATCAATCCTAATTTATGTTATATACTGACATACCAAATCTCGTTTTTTATTAAAAAACAATAAAAAAAAGTTATAAGAGTGACCCACTTTTGAGAAACACCCAGTATAGAGGTAGAAACATAAGTTTCGTTTAACTTAAGTTACCTTTTGTTAGAGATTATTAAAAATACTACCTTATTTTACTAAGTTTAGGAAGTTAGGGGCACTGAAAGGGTAAATTTAAAAAACGGTTGTTTAGAAATTGTACGAGTAGGCTTAAAAAACGAGATAAAATTTGGGAAAAAAAATTCTCTGCCATAAATTTTGACCCTAAATCAAATGGCGATAGAGAAAAATTATTTGGAAAAGCGGAAAGGGTAGTTTTTGCAAGGGTATGGGGTTGTTTCGTGAATAACTTTTTTGAGATTATTTTTTTTGCAACGTGGGATTATCTTTTGAAAACTACATACTTTTTCCTACAAAAAGGTATTCTTGTTGAACATCGCCCAGAGCGATGGTTTTCGAGAAAATTGAAGTCAAAGAGTTTGCTCTGATGGGTTGCTAACTAGTTAATCACCATAAACTTCTGAAAGTTATGGCGGTTCAAAAGTAACCAAGTATTTTTTAAATAATTAATTGGAAAATCATAAATTTCATGATATTTAAAACATCTTATTGCTTTAAAAACGAAATAAACTTTTTTGGTTTTAACTAAGTTTTTATAGGTTAAAAAGAAACATAGTCTATGTGCAGCTTCCCAAGTAGCATTTGGACGTTACCTAACGTCGGGTATACGTCGCGTCCAATAAACCCGACGTCGGGTACCAACGTCGGTTCGACAGCCTGACGACCCTTATTTGCACCTAAATGGGGAATACAGATTCGGGTCGCCTCGACGTCGGTATCTGACCTAATAGGGAATGTAATTCTACCAATTACCAACGTCATATTACGTTGGATTTTAGTTACTTAAAATTCGTCGCTAGCACTTACGTTACGTTTGGTTTCATATTCGCTACCAAGAATACATAAAAACCTAACCTAAACCAAACTACCTAATTACAAATGGATTCATAATCACTCCTCGAATAGAACTATAAGTGCCTACCTAATTTCATATTATAATAATTCTGAATCATTAATCTAGACATCAGTTTTGTTAACGGAAATCACGTTTTTGATATATCTGATTAAAATACTCCGAAAAACAACGAGCGCCTTCAAAATTATGTAGATTTATGAAATAAAAATATCTATAAAAAAGTAACTCGCAAAATATTTTTTTTTTATTTTCTAGCTGGTTTAATTATAAAACTGTACTGTGGTTCCCCCCAAACTCAACCTTATCAATATTAGTCTACTAGAAATCGGAATGTGAATATAAATTTTAAAAACAAAAAACGATTTTAAAATGGCTGACAATCGGATACTAGTTAAGAATGGCGGATTCCTGTGTCCCACTTAATAACTTAATATGAACTACCAATATACCAATTCCGACCGGGTCTCCAATATTAGTCGTCTCACACGACCGAAGTCATCAAACCGGACGACCGGTAATCGTATTATGACGTATATAATTCCAACGTACGCCACGTAACCTCACTTTGCGTATCAGTGATTTGTGGATTTGTGCAACTATATTTTAGTTTTTGTTTTCTCCTAAAAAAAAAGGGCAGCCACTTTTTTAAGATAGTATATATACAAAATTTAAAAGAATTAGAACCAGTACCTCACATGTGGGAGGAGGATGGGGTCTGCTGGTTTCCTAAGCTAAAAAATGAAATTAAGATGCACCAGTGTAATGTAGCATCTCTTCCATCATACATCTCTGACACCACTACTACTATTATTATTTTATTTATTAGCTTTCTGTAAAATGTAGATGAATGTCTAAATGCCTTTTTAGTGTTTTTTAGGCATAATAAAAAAATTAAGTTTGTTTAGAAAAACTTTTTATTAAGTTATGTTGATGATGTTCATTAGGCCGCAAATGCTACTTAATGGGTTGTATTTACGGACGTAAACAGAGATACGTAAATTAGGTTATAAATATGAACATAAAATACAACAAAATATAATTGGACGTTACTTTAGGGTTTTTATCCTATTCGGACAACGGGTTGGACGACGTTGGGAAATTAATAAAAATGGTATGTTGTTATTTTGTACGTCGACAGATCGTTGGATTTACCAACTCGGATCCAACGACGTCGCTTTTAATAGGAAAGCGACGTCACCGGTCATATCACCAGCACCCGACCAAAATTTGCACAAAGTCTGACGTCGCTTCAGGTCAGATTTAGTTCGAAGTCAGATAGATGCTACTTGGGTTTACATTTAATTAACTTTACTTACTTGTTGATCCTTTTGGTCTTCCTCTTGATTTTGCAGAAACCGTTTTAATTGGCGATTTAACAGGTTTACTAAAATTTGTATTAATTTTTTTTGAGCTGGGTTTATCACTTTTAACATCAATAATTTTACTATCATCGGGCATTGTATTATCAATTAGGGTACTATTTTTATTTTTTTCTAAATTTTCAGTATCTTTACTAGAACTTCCCTGATATTCATCAACACCTATTTTATCTGAATCACTAGTAGATTTCTTTGCAACGGTTGTTTGTTTCAAAAAATTTGCCATAGCCTAAAAAATATTAAATAATATTTATTCAAGTAATACTCGTATATCAAAAATAAATTTACTTTATTTGTTGGCATTATTTTTTCAAGTTTCGTTAACTGTATTCCTACACCTCTTAATTCAGAAAATGGTATGTTAAGTCGATCATAAATTATTTTGGCCTCCCTGTAAATTATTTCGGGGTTGGTGTACAGGAGGTTTGAGTTGCTGCTTTTGCTTATGGCGTCACACACGCCGTGACCAAGAAACTTGGCAGTTTCCTAAAATAATTATAGTATATTATTTTATTTTGAATGTATCTACATTTTGTTAAAATGACCTGCTAAATATACAGGGTGGTCCGTTATCAAAATCAAATTTTTCGTGTCAAAAAACTCCCAGACACCATTTTTCATCCAAATATTGACGTTTCTTTAGAAATTATTTGGAAAAGATGAAAATAGAAACGAAACTTCTACACCCTGTATCTCCGAAACTAAGCATTTTAGGCAGAGAATAGGTACATTAAAGAAATGCTAACTTCAGGTTAAAATGGAAACAGACGCCATCTGGTGTCGCCTGGCAGTACTAGCTAAATTGAGGGGAATTGGAGGGGCGGGGCTTAAAAGAGGGGAAATTTTAAAAAAAATATTTTTATAAGTATCACTGACTTACTGTTTAAAGTTAATAAACATATTTTTTATTACTTTTATATAAATTAATGTATTAAAAAATATGTCTATTAACTTTATACAGCAAATCAATGATATTATTAAAGACTTATTATTTTCAGAGAAAATTCATAGTAAATAAATTACACATTATTATACTAAACAGTATCATTTATTTGTTAGAGCTGCGATTTATATTACAATAATATTGAAATATATATATTTTTTTAACAATGAAAAAGAATATCACGGAACCTGAAAAAGAAAGATGATCAATTAATGACTTAAATTAGTTCAAAATACATTTTGCAAATAACTAGTGAATTGGAAAGATAAACATACTATTAAAAAGACATTTTAGAAGTATGTTATCATCTATTTGCTGATAATACATAAGTATATAATAGGTAAATAACATGCATAAGGCACTATGATACAACTACCTGTATCATGATAAACACTAATATCACAAAAATATATGCTAATATAAAAAAAATTAAATACAGTTTTGAAACGGCTGTGCTGGATATAAACAAGAATCTTACTATTATTTGAGGTTAGAAAGTATTTAAATAATATAAAACATAATCAAAATCATTTTTCATCATAAATTATAGACGTACTTACGTGTTTTGATATTATTATCAGGAAATAATACGTTTAGTTAAACAGGTACGCTGCCAGGCAAGTTCTATCGACGGGTCTTTGCAAAAGTTGAAATCTAAAAATACAAAAATACGTTTACATCTTAGTTGTATTTACCAATAAAGTATTTGTGTGTAATTTCTGACTTACCAGTTAACTGAATAATCGCATTAAATACATCCAAATGGTAATTTAATATTGTAAAAAAGCAAAATTGTTTTAAATCACTTGCCAGGACAGCCCGGCCAGCTTCTTTGTTGGCAAAATGGCAAATGGCCGCGGTATCATGATTTAAGCAATGTGAGTGATAAAGAAAGCCAATGCCTGGCAGATGTTGATTTCTTTGTCGTTGGTCCTGGCACGTTTAATTTGACTGTTGCCTGTTTTCCCATACAAGTGACACCCCCGTGATTTTAGGACATACTTAATAATACCACAGATAATACCTTTTAATACGAACTTTTTTACTTATTTTTATCTGCAGAATATGCTGCCGAAGTTTCCGAATACAGTTCGGACCACCCTGTATAATATAATCATTTTTATAAAATAAAACTATCAAACAGGGAAATTATCATCGACTTACCACAGGAGCGCCCTCTGCTCTAATCAATAATTTCAGTGTTAAATTTCTTGCTCGCATTTTTATATCGTTTAAACGATTGAACACTTCGTTTGAAAGGCTTTGAAGAAAACTGTAACATTCTTCCTTTGTCTTGAATCTTATTCCTAAATATAAATGTTATTTAATATACACTTCTTTACACATAAAATCATTTGTTACCGTAATTTATTTCAGCAGATACTGACTTTCTTTCGTGATCAAATTCCAGAGCTTTATTATCTCTTCCGAAAGCTTGGTTATAGATTTTTTTTCCCAGTTTAATTCCCAGTTCTGATTGTAGAACTTTTAAAGAAGATCTCTGTAAAGATAATTAATTATTTCAACAGTTAGAATATGGTTAGAATATAATGAGCTGGTCATTATAAATCCTTGGACTACGATCGAAAAAAACAGCGCTATAGAAACGAAGATCGCTGCCATTTTGTATTTAAAATTATCTTTGAATAAAAAGATTAAGGAAGGAGTATTATAATGCTATCCATCTATTCATGCATGGTAGATGGAGGTGGCGCTCTAGGGTGGGGATCCTTGACAGTTCTGTTTGACGATTCATTTGACACATTTGAATTTGAATTGAAATTTTGTCAGTCTTTACTGAGCTCTTATTCTGTTATTAATTATTTATTGTACAATTGGTAGTTGTTTAGCAAATCTAAAAAATATTAAAGGGAATTGTGGCAGAACTTAAATTAACAGTGACGCTATTGCGACTTATCAAAAAAAAAACTCTAAAATAATTGGTTGTGTAGCGTACGGTAGATCTCGGTCAAAGATTGAGGAAAAATAATGGAATGACTTTTCACTAGGAAGTGACTATGTGTATACATATGTATAGTAAATCGATCATTTATAAAATTCACTTAAAATTCACTATTGTAATCGCAAAACATTTTCCGATGCACGTCATCAATCATATTGACATTGACACTAAACTTTATAAACCTGACTAAATGAAATTTTGGCAAAAATGTTTAAATTTGTTGTATAATTTAAGATACCGAGCAGCTCTTCATTTTAGTTTATAGAGCAAATGATTGTAACAGATATTTTATTTAGATTAAAGCTGTAAAAATTAGTTTAAACCGAATTTTATTATCGTTATGTTGGCCACATTGCGCCGTATTCAGCAATGTTGCCTTTACTATTTGACAATTATCCTAGTATCAGTCATTATTTTGTATAATATCGTGTTGTTGTTGAATCTTTGTGAGTAATTCCCGCTTTTTTGCTTAATTTCATAGCCTTTTTTTTTTAAATTGTACTTTTAAGCACAACAGTTTTTTTAAGAACTAAATTTTCGAGTTTTTGTATTGCATTTCTTGAAATTATGTGTTCAAACTATGCCGAAGCATTTAAACAGTCGAAGTAAAGAGATTGAAGCTTCCCTGTTTTTTTTTAATATTTTGAACGAGAACGTGACAATAAAGGTCCTTTATTACCCTTGACTGCAGTCAGAAAAGTAAGTTTGATTAAACGCAAAACTCTTTAAAAATGATAGACTAAATATGTTTATCGGAAACACGTGCATCGGAAATTGTTTTGCGATTACCACAGTTACATATTTTTACTTGCATTTTTGCTTTTATTTACTACTTGTCAAAGAATGTATGTCAAAGAATTTAGGTACGTCAATTTGACGTACCTGCTTCAGTAGCGTATCGGATGTTTGTGATAATAAATTATTATAACTTACAATTATTGACAATGTAAAATAAAACAACAAATTACTGATTCTACCACCACATCATATTTTTTAAACGTTTTGAATAACCAAACCAAACGTCTTATAAAATTAGGGTATTTACCTAAATTGCACGAATATCTAAACATGACATAACTAAAACAGACCTTAACATATTTAATTTGCCCAATACAATATCGCCACCTTCAAACCACGACCACGGATTTAGAACATCCAGGTTTGTACAAAGTAAATCCTTGCCTGTAAATCTCCACAAGTGTTTAATCCCAAATTACGTAATTTCGCTAAAGTAGCTCTTCCCACACCTGGCAAATCTGCAACTAGAATGTCAGACATGTATATCTCGACATCGTCCGGTTTAAGGTAGTATTGTCCTGCTGGCTTGGCTTTTTTCGTAGCTAATCTAGCTTGAAGTCTATTTGCTCCAAACCCTAATACAATTGACATTGTATATTTTTATAGCGTCAAAATCAAACTCACCTGTAGAACAAGGACACCTTGTTATATCGACTATCTCGTTTCTTATATGGATGGCCCATTCCTCAACTGTCAATCCTGTGTCATTTAAAATTTGCGTGACGTCTACGTACATCTCGTCACAACTTACAGCTTCAATGTCTAGTGTATAGGAGGCTACCGTGTTGTATAACGCGTGGGAGACCTCCTTGTAACCCTTCAAAAATATATCACATATTAAGTAATGTCTATAAATCCTCTTTTTATAAACAAACCAAGTGTGTACCAGCGACTTCGTTCACGTCGAATTAATCATTTGTAATGGTGATGATAAAGCAAAGCAAGAATTTCCATTAACATACAAACTGGATAAAATTTTCTCATATTTATGTCAGCATGAGAAAAAACAATATGGCGATATTATTATATAACTTGGTAATATTTGAGAGGTAGTTTCATCTCGTTGGAATTTGACTTTTGAAAAATCCGTTTGCCAAAAATAAGCTTTTTACGTCAAGTAGTTCGTGTTTAAAAATTACCCAACTTTTTGGAACTCCCTATATTGGTGGGTTCATACAGCCAAATAAAATAAAATAAGAATAAAATAAAATAAAATAAGAAAGTTGGTTATATGGGATACCGTACATGCGTTCATACAGCCAAATAAAATAACAAATAAAATAAAAAGTCTTTATCTTTTAACTTCTTGTTTTATTTTATGTGAAAACGGCTTTGCGCACACTTAATTCTAACCTACAAATATTTTCAGTTTGGATTTAATTTATTTTATAATTTCACGTAAGTAAAATGTATAATATAGTAGGCAACAAATAAATAAATATACTATAAATAGTAAAATTACTATAAACAATCGTAAAAGTTAAATTTTATCCAGCCTCATCGACTGCGCATGAGCAAATATATATTTCTTATTTTATTTTATTTGCCTGTATGAACGCACACAAATAAGAATTCCTTATTTCTTATTTTATTTTATTCTTATTTTATTTTATTTGGCTGTATGAACCCACCTTATGATTTTTTAAAAAATGTCAAAATTTGTAAAAAAACCAAATAAATTATGCTTGTCCAAGCGTTCTCCCGAAAGACTAACCGTTTTTTAAGTAACAAATATTGTAATATTTGAGGGGCGTTTTCACCCTCTTGGAATTTGAGATTCGAGAAACCCCTCTTTATCGAACCTCTACACCCCACAGTCAATCCGTTTGCCAAAAATCAGCTTTAAACGTCAAGCAGTTTAAGAGAATCGTGATTACTCAATGGTCATATTTTATGAAACACCCTGTATAAATTTATAAATAATCTTAAAATATGTAAGATAACAAAATAAAATATACGTGTTTAAGAGTTTTTTTCCAAAAAACTCACCGGTTTTTAAATAAAAAATATTTTAATATTTGTGGGATAGTTTCACCCCCTTAGAATTCGAGTTTCGAAAAATCCTTTCTTATCGAACCTCTACACCCTAAAGTTAATCTGTTTTCCAAAAATCGGCTTTTTACGTCAGCTCTTTAAGCAGGATCGTGATTAATCAATGACCAGATTTTTCGAAACACCCTGTATACATTTTTAAAAAATCTTAAAATATGTAAAAAACAAAATAAAATATACGTGTTTAAGCGTTTTTTCGGAAACTTGACCGTTTTTTAAATAAAAAATATTGTAATATTTGAGGGGTGGTTTCACCCTCTTGGAACTGGAATTTCGAAAAATCCCTTCATATCGAACCTCTACACCCTAGAATCAACCTGTATGCCAAAATCGAGCTTCTTACGTTGAATGGTTTAAGCAGGATCGTGATTAATCAGGCGAACAGTCAGACGCTAAATTGATTTATGTGGTAGATAGAAACTCAGAAAACTACTTCTATTGGTTAGTATAAAATAAATCAGCTAAATGCGAAGCATTTTTCACGCTTGCGTAGTTCAAAGCTGTTGAACGAAAAGGACCGACTTATGTGGGTTTTGTATAGCTCCATCTCAAAAATTTGGCTTCAATTTCTGTTCCTTACTAGCAATATAGTCTTATATTAAAAATACCTCAAAATCATAAGGCAGAGTTTTCAATTCGGGACACAACTGCACAGCTTGGCCTAAAAACATCCCATTTTTTATTCCTCTCTGTCGGGCTTCATAGCTGCAACTGGCTATCTCAGACATTGACGCCAAACCATCAATCTTATCGGTTAAATCGACCACTCTGGACGTGGCACCTATAAGCGATACCAATTAAACTTTTAGTTACGTAATCGAGGGCGCGATTTTTAAATTCATTGTTGCCAACAACGGACATATTCGGCCCCGGACTGACTAACTGAAATTTAAATTTCCCGCTGGTGATTCAGGCGGCAGCTCTGTTGTAAAAAAATGTCAAGATGCCACAATTTATTTATTTCCTAACATTGCCATTCGTTTTGGCACTTTAGTTTTGTATTACGAGTTTTTGATTTAAATTAATTGTGTTGTTTTTTACACTTTAAGCTTAAAAATTTGATTGATTGATAAGCACATTATACCACTTTCAAAGTTAGTTTTTATTAAATTCTGTGATTATTAGTTTGTGCATCAATAGCACCCTCTTGGCTTGTTATTACCACTTATGGCTTTGTAAATAAATAAATAACCCATAATAATCTTCATAATGTACTAGTTTTTGCCAATATGTAATAAGTAAAATAAGCTATCAAACAAATAAATCTAGTCGATAAGAGCCATCAGTAGAAGTCCATATCAGTAGAAAAAAGAAACAGAATATCTCCTTTCTTGTCGGTCGCGCGTACACAATGCTTTTTGTTCGGCCTATTTGTTCCGCTTGTTCGTGCGCGCTCGGTTCGTTCGGGCTAAAATGCTTAAGTCTGGACGCACCTTTAGGAACAATACTGTTTCTGTCTTTATTGATATAACGCTGAAAATCTCACGAGTTACATGTTTAACTCTACACATATTAAATTACATAAACGTAGGATTTAGAATATTCTGTTATGAAACGACTGATGGAATAGCAGGTATCGCGGATTTGAAAAACATGGAAATAACGACGTTATCGTGTAGACGGGGTTGGAGATTAATTACTCCATTTATCACACCAGTATTTATTAACGAAAAATCCAAGAATATTTTAAATGCATTATTTAATATTAGAACATTTAATAAGCTCATGAATAGCAACTTCGCTTTTTAGTTAACTGGGATATTTTAACATTTCTGAAACTTAATTCCTTCTGAAACAATATTTTCTAATTGGTAAAACATAACAAAAATTTAGATCTGACAACTCTGTTGAAACTGGTCGTTCATCTGGCCGCAGCTATAAACGCAATACATCCGGCCAGCCGACGGCCAGGTTGTTGCGACCTGGTCGTCAGTGAGTTCGAGCTCTAAGATCAGAGAAAGTATAAACCAGCCATAAAATGAATAAGGGTAGGTACTTGCCTTCAGGTAGTCTCTCTTGGTACAATTCAAATTCCCTGGCTCTACTAGCTTGTCTATTTGGATCAGCGTTACTTATAACCCCACTTTTA